TGAAGAGGGCTGGAATAGTTTTAAAAATGCGGAATTAGAATGTGGGGCAGAAGTTTGTGGCTATAGGAGGGTGGGTGAAGGAGGAAAGAGGAATTGATTGGTGAAATGATGAGGTAAAGGGTGCAGTAAAAGAAAAAGTTAGCATATGAGAGGTTTTTACAGTGCAGAAGTGATATAAGAAGGGCAGGGTATATGGAGAATAAAAGAGAGGTGAAGAGAGTGGTGAGAAAATGCAAAAGGAGAGCAAATGACAGAGTGGGAGAGGCACTGTGAAGTTATTTTGCTGATAATAAAAAAAAAATTTGGAGTGAGATAAACAAGTTAAGCCTAGGGAACAAGTGGATTTGTCAGTTAAAAACAAAGTAGGGGAGTTAGTAGATAGGGAGCTGGAGGTATTGGGTAGATGGTGGGAATATTTTGAGTAACTTTTAAATGTTGATGAAGAAAGGGAGGCAGTAATTTCATGCACTGGCCAGGGAGGTATAACATCTTACAGGAGTAAAGAAGAGTAAGATGTAAGTGTGAGGGAGGTGCGTGAGGCATTACGTAGAATGAAAGGGGGTAAAGCAGCTGAAACTGAGGAGATCATGACAGAAATGTTAAAAGCAGAAGGGGATATAGAGTTGGAGTGGTTGGTATTTTTGTTTAATAAATATGTGAAAGAGGGGAAGGTACCTAGGGATTGGCAGGGAGCATGTATGGTTTCTTTATATAAAGGGAAGGGGGAAAAAAGAGATTGTAAAAATTATAAGGAAATAAGTTTACTGAGTATACCAGGTAAAGTTTATGGCAAGGTTATTTTTGAAAGAATTAGTGGTAAGACAGAGAGCATGATTGCAGATGAGCAAGGAGGCTTTAGAATAGGTAGGGGATGTGTAAATCAAGTATTTACATTGAAGCATATACAGTTGAACCTCGGTTTTTGTATGCCCCAGTTTTCGTAGGATTCAGTTTTTGATGACTTTTTCCGTCAAAATTTTGTCCTAGTTTTCGTACATCTGCTCGGTTTTAGTAGAGTTGAAAATGGTCTGTACCAAACGTGTCCGCATGACTCGGTCACTCAAGCACCCACACAAAGCAACCCACGCATTTGTGACTGAGTCTGCCTTTGTTTCTCGTTGAGTGAGCATCACCCCGCATGTTCATCCAAAACATTTTGTAATAGTCCATTGATTTTTGTGCTTGTTTATTGAGTGCAACTGCTAAATAAGCCATCATGGGGCCAAAGAAAGTTCTGAGTGCCAGCCCTTTGATAAAGAAGGTGAGAAATATGATAAAATTCAAGAAAGAACTCATAGCAAAGTACAAAAGTGGTGTACATGTGGCCAAGTCTCGCCAGGATGTACCGTAAGTCCACATCAACGATCATTTCTATCCTGGCAAAGAAAAAAGAAATCAAGGAAGCTGATGTTGCTAAAGGGGTAAATGTGCTAATGAAACAGAGATCGCAAACAATTGAAGATGTTGAGAAGTTGTTCGTGTGGATCAACGAAAAACAGTTAGCGGGAGATAGTGTTTTGGAGGCGATAATTTGTGAAAAGGCAAGGTAATTGCATGCGGATCTCACAAACAAAATGCTTGGAACGAGTGTTGCTGTTAGTGAATTTGAGGCCAATAGAGTCTGGCTTGACAAATTCAAGAAACGAACTGGCATACACAGTGTGGTAAGGTATGGTAAGGCTGCAAGTTCGGACAAACATGGGGCCGAAGAATTCGTTGATGAATTCAAGGAGTACGTAGAGGCTGAAGGATTCCTCCCCCAACAAGTCAACAATTGTGATGAAATGGGCCTCTTTTGGAAGAAAATGCCTAAGAGGACCTTCATCACGCAGGAGGAAAAGGCACTGCCAGGACACAAGCCTATGAAGGATAGGCTAACTCTTTTGTTCATGCCAATACTAGTGGGGATTTCAAAGTGAAGCCTTTACTGGTGTATCACTCTGAAAATCCCCAAGTGTTCAAGACCCAAGTGTTCAAGAAAATGTCATCCAGAGTAAATTGTGTGTGATGTGGAAGGCTAACAATAAGGCACGGGTCATGAAGCAGATTTTCGTTGAGTGGGTCAATGAAGTGTTTGGCCGAATGTGAAGAAATACCTCCTGGAAAATTATTTGCCACTGAAGTGCCTCCTGGTAATGGACAATACTCCTGCTCATCCTCCAGACTTGGAAGACCAATTGATGGAGGAGTTAAGTTTCATCACAGTGAAGTTCTTGCCCCCTAATACCACTCCTTTCATCCAGCCCATGAACCAACAGGTCATTTCAAACTTTAAAAAAATCTACACCAAAGCACTGTTTCGAAGGTGCTTTGAGGTGACCTCGGATGCTGAATTAACCCTAAGAGAGTTCTGGAGGAATCACTTCAGTATCCTCACTTGCATAAGCCTTATAGATAAGGCTTGGCAGGGAGTGACTTCCAGGATGATGAACTCTGCTAAGAGAAAATTTTGGCCAGAATGTGTCCTCGAGAAGGATTTTGACAGGTTTAAGGCTGATCCTGACACCCTATGCCTATTGAGGAATCTATTGTGTCTTTGGGAAAGTCCATGGGGTTGGATGTGAGTGGCTAGGATGTGGAAGAGTTGGTGGACGACCAGAGGGAAGAGTTAACCACTGAAGAGCTGCATGACCTTCAACTGGAACAGCAACAGACTGCAGCTGAGGAAATTGCTTCAGAGGAGGAGGAAGAAAGAAAGAAGACTGTGCCTTTTTCAGTGATTAAGGACATGTGTGCAAAGTGGAGTGAGTTGCAAAGTTTTGTGTAGAATTATCACCCTAACAAAGCTGTAGCAAGCTGTGTCTGCAACATGTTCAATGACTATGCCTTGGCGCATTTTAGGCAAATCTTAGAGACACTAGAAACAGACCTCTATCGAGTTTTTGTGCGACAGGGGTACAGTGACTCTTAAGCTGGTCCTAGTGCCAGTAAAAGACAAAGAAGAGAAGTTACCCCGGATAGGGCCTTGACACCTGAAGTCCTTATGGAAAGGGATTCCCTTTCCAAATAATAACCTCTCCTCCTCCTCCTCCTCCCCTCCTCGCCGTCTTCGATATGTCAACAAGAGTCTTCAGTAAATGTAAAAGTGATGTTAAATGTTCATTTATCCATTTCATTATATTTATTTCTCATTGTTTTCTGTATGTAAAACTATGTAAATGTATTTTTTGTTAATATTTTTGTGTGTCTGGAATGGATTACTTGGATTTACATTATTTCTTATGGGAAATATTCCTTCAGTTTTCGTATGATTCGATTTTTGTCAGACTTTTTAGAATGAATTAGTCACGAAAACCGAGGTTCCACTGTATGTGAATAGTATTTAGCTAAAGGTAGGGAAGTTTCCATTGCATTTATGGATTTAGAAAAGGCATATGATAGAGTGGATAGGGGAGCAGTGTGGCAGATGTTGCAAGTGTATGGAATAGGTGGTAAATTATTAAATACTGTAAAGAGTTTTTATTAGGATACTGAGGCTCAGGTTAGGGTGTGTAGGAGAAAGGGAGATTACTTCTCAGTAAAAGTAGGTCTTAGACAGGGATGTGTAATGTCACCATGGTTGTTTAACATATTTATAAATAAGGTTGTAAAAGAAGTAAATACTAGGGTGTTGGGGAGAAGGGTGGGATTAAATTATGGGGATTCAAATACAAAGTGGGAGTTGGCACTTTTTGCTGATGATACTGTGCTTTTGGGGGATTCTAAAGAAGAGTTGCGAAGGTTAGTGGATGAGTTTGGGAGGGTGTGTAAAGATAGAAAGTTGAAAGCGAATGTAGATAAGAGTAAGGTAATGAGGGTATCAAACGATTTAGATAAAGAAAAATTGGATATCACATTGGAGGGAGGGAGTATGGTAGAAGTGAATGTTTCCAGATATTTGGGATTTGACTTGTCAGCAGATGGGTTTATGAAGGATGAGGCTAACCATAGAATTGACGGAGGGTAGAAGTGAATGTTTTCAGATATTTGGGATTTGACTTGTCAGCAGATGGGTTTATGAAGGATGAGGCTAACCATAGAATTGATGGAGGAAAAAATGTGAGTGGTGCATTGAGGTATCAGTGGAGAGAAAAAACGTTATCTGTGAAGAATGGGTTGTAAATGCTGCAGTGAGGAGGCAGCTGGAGGCAGTGGAGATGTCATGTCTAAGGGCAACGTGTAGTGTAAATATTATGCAGAGAATTAGTAGTGTGGAAATTAGGAGGAGGTGTGGAGTTACTAAAAGTATTGAGGTGGTTTGGTAATTTAGAGAGAATGGAACAAAGTAGAATGACTTGGAGAACTTATAAATCTGTAGGGGAAGGAAGGCGGGGTAGGGGTCGTCCTCGAAAAGGTTGGAGGGAGGGGAACGAGGGGCTTGGACTTCCATTAAGCATGCCTGATCATGTTAGATAAGAGTGAATGGAGACGAATAGGTTTTTGGGACCTGACGAGCTGTTGGAGTGTGAGCAGGGTAATATTTAGTGAAGGGATTCAAGGAATCCGGTTAGCCGGACTTGAGTACTGGAAATTGGAAGTACGTACAATGCCTGCACTTTAAAGGAGGAGTTTGTAATATTGGCAGTTTGGAGGAACTTCTAAACTGTCATATCTGAGTGCCTCTGCAAAGACAATGATTATGTATAAGTGATGGTGAAAGTGTTGAATGTTTTTTCTTTCTTTTTGGGTTTTTCTTTCTTTTTGGGTCATCCTGCCTTGGTGGGAAATGGCAGACGTGTTAAAAAAAAAAGTGTAATGATCACATGAAACTTGCATTTCAATTGTCTTGTGCACTTTCTCTGAGTAACATCCTGGACCATACAGTATGTCCATAAGTTAGCATAGCTACACCGAAGCTAAATTACAGGTGTCAAGGCTTAACTATACTGTACATAAAAAAATATCCTTTGTAATCTCAGGTGAATTAATGTAGAACTATACTGAAATCATTTGTTATTTTGAGTATTTATGTTCTGCATGGGCATATAGTTTTCAGTACTAATAATTGTTATTTTATTTAGGCTTGCATGAGTCGTAGTCAACCTTGTATTGAAGAGGGATTTACTGGCAAGGGTGGGAGTGTCCCACCTCAGCCTCCTCCTCTTCCTCCCTCTTTATCAAGTGGATCTTCAAGCCATCCAGTTCCCATATCACCATCTCTTTGTGCTATGTGCCATGTACCTTACTCTGAAACTTCACTACCATTCCGTGTCAAAATTTCCAAATGTTCGATTTGCAGGTGAGCACTTCATTTTTAATTTTGTGAAGGTTTCTTAATTTTTTATTGCATATTTTTGATATTATGTCTTCCAATTCCTATATTGTGTTTTATACCAAGATGACTCCACTCACAGGCATACAATTTTTGTAAAACTTTCTAATTGTTTTAAATTATACAGTATTTTGCTTAAAAGCATAATAGTTAAACTATTAGGTATCACTGGAATTTTTTTTTTTTTTAACAAGTCGGCCGTCTCCCACCGAGGCAGGGTGAACCAAAAAGAAAGAAAATCCCCAAAAAGAAAATACTTTCATCATCATTCAACACTTTCACCTCACTCACACATAATCACTGTTTTTGCAGAGGTGCTCAGAACACAACAGTTTAGAAGCATATACATAAAAAGATACACAACATATCCCTCCAAACTGCTAATACAGTGGACCCCCGGTATTCGATATTAATCCGTTCCTGAGAGCTCATCGAATAGCGATAATATCGAAAACCGAATCAATTTTCCTCATAAGAAATAATGAAAATCAAAATAATCCGTGCAAGACACCCAAAAGTATGAAAAAAAAAATTTTGCTACATGAAATATAAAGTTTAATGCAATAGAACAATTACAATAACAATAAAATAATTGACACTTACCTTTAATAAAGATCTGGTGATGATTGATGGGATGGAAAGAGGGGAGAGGTGTTAGTGTTTAGAAGGGGAATCCCCTTCCATTAGGACTTGAGGTAGCAAGTCCTTTTCCAGGGTTACTTCCCTTCTTCTTTTAATGCCACTAGGACCAGCTTGAGAGTTGCTGGACCTCTGTCGCACAACAAATCTGTCCATAGAGCTCTGTACCTCCCGTTCCTTTACGATTTGTCTAAAATGGGCCACAACATTGTCATTGTAATAGCTGTGTTAGGGTGATTTTCATCCATAAAGATTTGCACTTCAACCCACTGTGCACACATTTCCTTAATTTTTGAAGTAGGCACAATGTATTCCACAACTGGTATAGGCTTCTCAGGGTTTCTCCCAAACCCTTCAAAATCTTTCTTAATTTCCATACTAATTCTCACCCTTTTTACCACAGGGTTGGCACTAGAAGCTTTCTTGGGGCCCATGGTGACTTATTTTGCAGAAACAAGCACCAAACACAGTGATAATATGGATAATATGGAATGTACCGAATGTATCCTTAGATGCGCCCACACTGGCTGGCTTGTAAACACTGGCACACAAGGGGCAGCTCAGGCCACATGTGGACAGGTCTTGTACGAATCGTATTGAATACTAGGTTTTCAATCGAATACCGAGGAAAATTTTTTGCGATATAATGCATCGAATACCGGATTTATTGAATACCGATGCCAACGAATACCGGGGCTCCACTGTATCCCAAAACCCCTCCTTTAGAGTGCAGGCATTGTACTTCCCATTTCCAGAACTCAAGTCCAGCTATATAAAAATATGTAACCAGCTTCCCTGAATCCCTTCACTAAATATTACCCTGCTCACACTCCAACAGATCGTCAGGTCCCAAATACCATTCGTCTCCATTCACTCCTATCGAACACGCTCATGCATGCCTGCTGGAAGTCCAAGCCCCTCGCCCACAAACCTCCCTTACCCCTTCCTTCCAACCTTTTCGAGGACGACCCCTACCCCACCTTCCTTCTCCTACAGATTTATATGCTCTCCATGTCATTCTACTTTGATCCATTCTCTCTAAATGACCAAACCACCTCAACAACCCCTCTTCAGCCCTCTGATTAATACTTTTATTAACTCCACACCTTCTCCTAATTTCCACACTCTAAATTTTCTGCATAATATTTGCAACACACATTGCCCTTAGACAGGACATCTCCACCGCCTCCAACCGCCTCCTCGCTGCTGCATTCACAACCCAAGCTTCACACCCATATAAGAGTGTTGGTACTACTATATTTTCATACATTCCCTTCTTTGCCTCCATAGATAACGTTTTTTGTCTCCACGTATACCTCAACGCACCACTCACCTCTTTTCCCTCATCAATTCTATGATTAACCTCATCCTTCATAAATCCATCTGCTGACACGTCAACTCCCAAGTACAGTGGAACCTCAAAAATTGAACTTAATCCATTCCAGGAGCTAGTTCTAAATTCGAAAAGTCTGAAATTCGAAGCAATATTTCCCATAAGAAATAATGGAAATACAATTAATCCGTTCCAGAAACCCAAAAATATTCACACAAAAAATACATTTTATAGAGATTAATTACAGTTTTACATACAACAAATACTATAGTTTTAATTATGTATAGTAATACATATAAAATAACATTTTTACTTACCTTTATTGAAGATTGGTGATGGCATCTGGAAAATAGTGTTTGGAAGGAGAATCCCCCTCCATGAAGACTTCAGGTAAAGCCCTCTCTGGGGTTAGTTCCCTTCTCTGTCTTTTAATGCCACTAGGACCAGCTTGAGAGTCACTGGACCCCTGTCTCACAAAATAACTGTCCACAGTCCTCTGTTTCTGGTGCCTCTTTAACATTTCCCTAAAATGGGACGTGGTTATGCCACTGAACTTGTTGCAAAGATGGCTTGTTTCAGCTTGCTCAGGGTGGTACTTCTGCACAAACATTTGGACATCATACCACTTGGCACAAATCTCCTTAATCTTTGAAGAAGGCACCTCATCCACTCCCTATATTAACACCTTTCGCAACATCAGCTTCCTTGATTTGTTCTTTCCTTGACAGGATAGAACCGATGGTCGACTTGTTTTTCTCATACATCCTGGCAAGCTCAACAAGTCTCACACCACTCTCGTACTTCTGTATTATTTCCTTCTTCAAATCTATGGTGTTTCTCACTTTCTTTACCACAGGGGTACCACTAGCAAGTTTCTTTGGGCCCATGGCAGCTTATTTCACAGTCCCACAAGCACTAAACACAACGAAATAATCGTAAAATGCGTGAATGAGTGCGAAGGTTAGTGTTCACTCAAGCATAAACAAAGCTAGACTGCTCACGGCGCCTGCATGGGGACGCGGACAGAGTGGGCGGCAGACAGGTCCCGTACCCGGTGGTCTGAAAATAGGGGCGTGTTCGATAATAGGGACACAGTTTGTCCGAGAAAATGGTCCTATTTTCAAAACGTTCGATATGTGATACGTTCGATTTTTCAGGTTTCACTGTATCTGAAAACATTCACTTCTTCCATACTCCTCCTCCCCAATTTGATATCCACTTTTTCTTTATCTAAATTATTTGGTACCCTCATCACCTTACTCTTTTCTATGTTCATTTTCAACTTACTACCTTTACACACACTCCTAAACTCATCCACTAACCTTTGCAATTTTTCTTTAGAATCTCCTATAAGCACAGTATCATCAGCAAAAAGCAACTGTGTCAATTCCCATTTTGTATTTGATTCCCCATAATTTAATCCTACCCCTTCTCCGATGCACCCTAGCATTTACTTCTTTTACACCCCATCTATATATATTAAAATATATATAATATATATTATATATATAGTATATATTATATATATTATATAATATTATTATATATAAATAGTATATATTAAACAACCAGGTGACATTACACATCCCTTCTAAGACTTTTCTTTTACTGGGAAGTAGTCTCCCTCTCTTCTACACACCCTAACCTGAGCCCCATCCTAAAAAGTTTTGACAGCATTTAGTAACTTACCACCTATTACATTAATTTGCAACATCTGCCACATTGCTCCCCTATCCACTCTGTTATATCTTTCTTTCTTCTTTCAACAAACCGGCCGTATCCCACCAAGGCAGGGTGGCCCAAAAAGAAAAACAAAAGTTTCTCTTTTCAAATTTAGTAATTTATACAGGAGAAGGGGTTACTAGCCTCTTACTCTGTTATATGCCTTTTCTAAATCCATAAATGCAATAAAAACTTTCCTACCTTTATCTACATACTGTTCACATATATGCTTCAATGTAAACACTTGATCTACACATCCCCTACCCACTCTGAAACCTCCTTGCTCATCCGCACTCCTACATTCTGTCTTACCTCTAATTCTTTCAATTATAACCCTACCATACACTTTTCCTGATATACTCAGTAAACTTATTCCTCTATAATTTTTACAATCTCTTTTGTCCCCCTTCCCTTTATATAAAGGGACTATACATGCTCTCTGCCAATCCCTAGGTACCTTCCCCTCTTTCATGCATTTATTAAACAAAATACCAACCACTCCAACACTATATCCCCCCTGCTTTTAACATTTCTGTCATGATCCCGTCAGTTCCAGCTGCTTTATCCCCTTTCATTCTACATAATGCCTCACGCACCTCCCCCACACTCACATCCTGTTCTTCACTCCTAAAAGATGGTATACCTCCCTGGCCAGTGCATGAAATTACCGTTTCCCTTTCTTCGTCGACATTTAAAAGTTCCTCAAAATATTCTCGCCATCTACCCAAAACCTCCATCTCCCCATCTACTAACTCCCCTACTCTGTTTTTAACTGACAAATCCATTCGTTCTCTAGGCTTTCTTAACTTGTTTAACTCCTAAATTTTTTCTTATTTTCATTAAAATTTCTTGACAGTGCCTCTCCCACTCTATCATCTGCTCTCCTTTTGCACTCCCTCACCACTTCCTTCACCTTTCTTTTACTCTCCATATACTCTACTCTACCTCTCATAAGCTAACTTTTTTTCTTTTATCACACCCTTCACTTCATCATTCCACCAATCACTCCTCTTTCCTCCTGCACCCACCCTCCTGTAACCACAAACTTCTGCCCCCACATTCTAATGCTACATTTTTAAAACTATTCCAACCCTCTTCAACCCCCCTCCCCCACTACTCATACTTGCACCAGCCCACCTTTCCGCCAATAGTTGCTTATATCTCACCCGAACTTCCTCCTCTCTTAGTTTATACACTTTCACCTCCCTCTTACTTGTTGCCATTTTCCTCTTTTTCCCATCTACCTCTTACTCTAACTGTAGCAACAACTAAA